TGCTAACGCAAAACGAAATGATTGGTCGTGTCCGCCTAATAAGTTGATAAAACCACACGTGGACTATCAAGACGAGAACTGTAAACGTATTCGTTATGCTGGACAGACGACCGGTTGCTAACGCAAATAAAATATATTATTTATATAAATAAATAACAATATACATTATAAAGAAACTAGATATGGCACATTCTATTTTGCGCGTCGTAAAACGATTGCAAATAGACAACAATTAAGTAATGTATCAGTCGCTTTCTTTCCGCTCTCAAACACACGATCTGCATCTTCTTTTTTTTTGTGTAAAACCATACTGGAAAATTGCAGTTCTCGCAGGTCTCTAGAGATTGTTTGGTCGTGTCGTCGTATATATTATCAATATTTACGAGAAAAGGTTCGTATCGTTTCGTTTCTCAGAGAATGTAGGTACTGGTTTACCTTTATATATTCAACTCGCGCTTGCTAATGGAAATCTGTTACGATTTACGAGGAGTTAGCAATATTAACTCGTCGGATTTTCCGTAATTCTGCCACAGATCCCACGAGATTGACCAAGATCTACATGCAAATTGGTCTTGGATATATATGTATGAATATCTACAAACGTCAAGCGGAAGTTATAGCGCAAACAATGCTAACGAGCGGTAAACTCGAAACAGAAAGATAAACATGTAAACAGATTATTGTTGCTAAATAATAAATGTTATGTCCCTTTCGTTTCTTTAATGGGTTATACTTTCTTCAAAGTATTCGAATTATTAATGTGACGCTCTCGGGAGCTCGTAATGCGCTTTGATGATACATAATGCATTCAAGCTGATACTTTTTTGTACCGGTGTACCCATCGTAACAATACACGGAAGCCTGAATATCACGGTGACGCGAAGCGTTTCGCTGAGCACCAAGCTGTCCTGCTGGTAATCTCCGGCCGTTTTTCAAAAATGCTTTCCAGGGATTTACGGATAGTAAATAGCTACAAGATTCTTTGGGAAATAGTACGGTGCTTTGAGAATTAAGACTAAAATAATTCAGAGAAATTCGCTCGAAATTATGTGCCTCCAAGCGCAAGAGATACGTTTTTCTCGTAAACCACACACACGTATATGTGTATCTTCATACATGTATCGTCTTTCTTATTTTTCGTGTCTACAATTTTTATTTTATATTCCCTTCGACATATACTTATTTTTACAAATTTAATGAGAATGTAGGTCGTCATGGTATTTTTAATCAATTTTTCTCAACATGCACTCGAGTGACTGTGTATTGTTTATAAATAATTAATATCTTAAATAATGGAACATGAATTATCAGCTAATATTATGTATAATAATCGCTTTCCCCGTTTGTATTTTAACTGAAACAAGCGAACAGTGTTGCTTGTCGGAGAAGCTACGAGGTATGTTTGCTAAAAACAATAGCGTAGCGAACATACCTGAGGATTTTAGGGATTACCTATTCCTTATTTAAACGCAGCTAATGGTCGAGTGCAGCCCGTAGTCGATGAGATCGTAAGAAAATACCAAAAGAAGTCGTCGCAGGCATTTCCGGGAGGATCAGAGTGCTTAACGTGTTACAGTGAAAACGGAGAAAAGAATGGCGGAGAGCTACACTGGTGGCGAACAATACTGCGGGATGAGGGATGGGAGGCGGCTAATACGCATCAACTCCGTTACAGATAAATGGATTAGTTAGTTACGACGCGGAACGAAAAGTAAAAGAGCGCGTCGGACTGAGAGAATACCATCAGGAAGGGTTAAGGCCTGGCGAAAAACGGGGAACGTGGTGGGCCGGTGATTTGGCGAGACGTAAATACTAAGAGAGCTCGTTACCGCTTACGATGTATCCATTCATCCTGTTGCTCGATTGAACAAACCGTCTTTTAACGTCTCCTCTTTTAACTCCGGATAGAATAATTAATTTTAACATTTTTCCAACGTATAATTTAATGAAAAAAAAAGATTAACAGAGATTAATGTTTATTGAGGCGAAGAACATATACTTTTGTTAATGCTTAATGAATTATTAATTAATTAAAAAAGATTGACTTACCAGGTATATTGAGACAAGAGTAACTTATATAAATATAAGTTTATATATTCTTGCGTTTAGAATAAATTTTCCCTTCATCTTACAACGCACCAAGTTGGCACCACGATATTCGACAAAAGACGATTCTAGATTTTAGAATTTTTCATTTAAAATTAAAATATTCCTTTCTCTATAATAAATATGATTGGCGCTTTATCGATCCTACTTTATGATACATTGAAGTGTAATTGCATTGGATCCGGAAATTTTTTCTGTGGGTGTATAATGAAACATATTAAATTTTTAACTTTTATTTTTACGCTAAACATTATATGGACATATAATTGTCCAAGATATTATATCTTGCAACATAAATTATTAACCAATTCATTTTTAATACATCTAATTCAGTTTTTGAAGAAAGAAACCATTGAAGACCTGAGAAAAAACGTGAATCCTAATTTTATATAGTTTGATTATAATACTGCTTTGTTTATATAGTACTTAATTATAATAATAACGTTTATTAAGTTTTGAACAATTATATGTTCAATTTCACGGGGTAGTAATTAACATAAAGGTACTTTTGTCAAAGTTATCTACACATATTAAACATAATAGGTACGCATGCATCATTGGTAAATTAGTCTTATCTTGCATTATTGATATATCGCCTCATTATCAGCCAAACTGTAAACAATATTATCACGCTAAATTTTTTAAACGTTCTACACGAGCGCGAACGGACAATACGGCGCTAGTCGGTCCGCGATGATGACTTTCATCAAAAATGGCCATTCATCAAGCCAAATGCTAATCGGCAATGCTGGTTATCTTTTAACTATCACACACCATCGTTCAACCGTAAAATCGCCTCTAGTGCTAGGTCAGGAATGCGTCCTGCTTTTTATCGCGCCAAAGGACGCCCTTTAATTTTCGTAAACGACCCGCGGCATTTTGCTGATGAGAGTCTGAATACCGAAAGGGAGAGGATTAATCCTCTTCAATGCGCAACATCCTTAAATATTCCTTTCCTTAAAGAACGAACTAGTTGCCAATAATGAGAACGATGTGTGTCTAGAGTCACTCCCCGCGGTTGTTCGATGAATTGGAAGTATATTCGCAAGACACTTTCAAACGTGAACATCTGCGAAAAATTTCGCAGAAAGGCGACCTTTGACGCGCTATTGATAGCCTGGCGGCTATGTAATCAGTGTCAGTTTGGTGAATGCGTGTTATTAGAATGCACCTTCCATTCAACAGTTCATCGCCGCCATACTGTCCAACGACAGTGATTCTTAATGTAGGCATAGGTTCTTTTTAATCGCGACACGGTTTCATTTTTGCATTCAATGTCACGTCGACGATAAACTTTGCTCAGTTACCTATATTGTGCGGCGATCTTACAATTAATGTTTAGCGTAAAAATAAAAATTTAATATGTTTCGTTATATACTGTCATACGTTGATATAACATATTAATACACTGATAAAAAATGTTTTAAAACTAAGTAAAGAGATTTACTTAAAATTATTTTTTTACCGAAGTAAATATTTATTCTCATTTTAATTAATGTATCAAATTTCAAGTAAATCTGTGTATTTTATTAAGTAAATTTAAATCATTACAGTTTCTACATTCAACTAAAGATTTCATGAAATAGAGAATACTATTTATTAAATAAAATCGTTGGTTTTGTCAAATAAGAAATCCAATTTTCTTTGCTGCAAAACATATCTTAGTAAACATTTTATAGAATTAAAGTAAAGTTTTTTAATTAAAAATTATCTACCGTTTGATATTTAATAAGTACTTAAATTAAAGAAATGCATGTTTTAATTTGTTTATTATTTTTTAAATTTAAGTTAATAAGCTATTAGGCGCCACCTAATAAATAAGTTTCTTGAGTAAAGTAATATTTCTTTAATTAAGATATTTTTTTATCAATGTATTAACAAAAGTATATGTTCTTTGCCTCAACAAATATTAATACCATATCCATCATGTTGTTTGGTTGTTTGACATGTATTTAGATATAACGTATATATGCAACATATACTACATAGCGTATTACATAATGTTATCTAATGAATGTTAGAGATACATAGTATACCATATATACGTTATGTGCATAATATGCTTGATATGGTGTTATTCTACGAACCGTTTGTGTGTATATGATCCTGTAATATCATTAATCAGCGGTCAATATTATACATTGAGTTCTATACAAATTAAATCGATCTCTAGATTTGACTTTCGGGTTGAAACCGCCCAAATTTGCCATTTTATTCCGACGGTTCGTGAACATTTCATTTCACATTTCGTGACGCTGTATCGATCCTCCCTGATGAAGTGAACTGAAATGTTCACGAAACGTTGGAATAAAATGGCAAATTTGCGCGGTTCCAATCCGAAAGCCAAATCTAATATTCATACACACCGCGAAAGCCTCAAATCAATTTCTATTATAAAAATTAACAATGCGTGGTTATAGCCAAATTAAAAAAAAGTAGCGATTGAAAAGCATTTAGTTGACAATAAATTGTCCATAGCAATTAATTACATTGTTGCGAAATAATTGAATCAATTTTGGATTATATTTTGACACTTGTGTTTATGATAAAACTGAATAGATTTAGCATTTTAATTAAGTTCGAGAAGCTCGAGTTTTAAAACTAGATATTATCTTGAATTTTTACCAATTGACACAAATAAAATATTTATAATATTATAATATAAGACAGCACCATAGCGAAATGCTTTATGTGTGTACAAGTCGAATAAACGCGTTCACAGTATTAAATCTGTATACGTGATCTCCGTTATACGAGATTTCAGCCTTGCTCGGAGCTTGCAGTTTATTAGCATAGATGGACGAACTTTGATCGTTTGAGAGTATTATCACTATGGAACGGAATGGTGTTCCACTTTAAGGATTAACGCGATCATAGTCGTGCTTACTTTCCAGGTGCTATATTCACTCATGACCAAAAGGATAGCAGCACGGAGCTGGCCTTCAAGTACGCCGTCTACAAGATCAACAAGGACAAAATTATACTGCCAAAGACCACGTTGGAGTACGACATCCAGTACGTGTCGAAAGATGATTCCTTCCACGCATCGAAGAAGGGTAAGCGTATTGTGCTTGATAAATTGCGTATACGTTTCACTTTTGGTATAATCATCGTTTTATTTGCATTTCCGTAATCTACGTCGGCGCAAGAAATAGTAATTTGAACTGAAACTTGCGGCGCAGAAAATTCTCCGGTGTAACGAAACGATGCCGCATCGCGCACGTCTGTAAGAAATTTCACTGAAGTTAAAAAACATCTCACGCTCGTTAATCTCACGGTTTCCTACACGTCAAAAATGATTTATTCCTGAAAACTCGCACAGTTTCCACGCAGAAAGCTGCAAAATGTTTAAATGGTACATAGCCCGTTCTTCTGACATAAGTCTAAAATATTAATTTATTTTAGTGTTGGAAATACGGGGGATACAACCGCAGCGCGTTTTTGATCGAGTCTTTGCCGAATAATATTTTTCAAACAATTTACAAAAAAGCAAACATGGTTGTTAACAAAAAGTATGTTGATTGTTTATGCGATGTCTAGATCCTTTTCACGAAACAAACGTTTGTAAGAGACATAGCACTACGTTAAGTCGAGACAAAGAGCTTGGTTTATCGATCAAAATCGTGGTACTTAAACAGAGAATACTCCGGGGTATTTTGAATATTCTGTGAGTCCTTTTAGTCGACACTACACGTAACGACGTAAGGCGTTACCGTAAGCAAAATGTATTGTGTTGACGGCATATATAAACCAGCCAAGAATAACTGGCTTGCTCGTTTCTCGTCGTTATTAAAGTAGCATACACATTATTATCCGTCTTGACTGCCGCCATCGGATACTCACCGTAAAGATCATTGTCTCCCTTCGTAGCACATATTACTTGTCTCTTACCCAACGTATCGAGAAAATTTAAGAGACAAAATCAATTTTGTTCCATGAGATACGTCTCGTGGGAATTTCTCAATATGATTTCGACAACTGATTCTTTTTCCACGTAGAACTCGTGAAGTTCTTATTTTTATAAGAACAGAAATCAAATCTGTGAGACGCGAAACAACGTCATTATAATGTTCAATATTGAAAAGAATGCACTCTTTCCCTCTTGAAATACTTTTTAACACTTATCTCTGAAAAAATGAAATGTACCAGAGCTCATTTCGAACAATGCAATTGCGTCAGTATGGAATGAAACTTCTGTTTTATTTTGATAAAAATTGTACAATGTAGCTTTAAGTAACTTACAAGTCAGGTTGCTTTCACGACCCTTAGAATCTTATAATCAATTGAGTAAATTTGCTATTTCGTTTTCTTTTCATGAATATTTTATCGTATTTTTCTAACTCTATTAACATCGCAGCCTGGTTTATTCTTTTTGAACGCAAAATATTATTACAACGATTATGTTTGTCCAAGCAGCGGCACACGTTACGTGTGTTGTGCAAACGCTATAATAATTGGATACATGTGAGTATTAACACCCTATACCTTCGTCTAATATTGATGCAGGAAAATAGCCAACAGGCTGCCCTCATTATTTTCGTTCACCATGTCGTAAATCATAACGCGGCTCAGAAATGGATGCTTTATAACACGTGAAATTGTGTATCTTGCACGATCGATGAAAAGGATGACTTCAATATCTCAATGCGAAATTTATATCTTTCGAAAAATTTTTCGCTCCTCTACAGTACATATCGAAATCTTACATCGAAAGTCGATGTAAAGATAACAATTACACTAATAACACACACACACTTATAATATTATATAATATTGTTAGCGATACATACAAAATTGAGGCGGCTGCTTTCACGTTTTGGATACAGTATTAGAAAGGACTTTTCTACCTATGCCTTTACACATATAACCCTGCATAGCGTGCAAAAGTGCATTTATGAGATCCGATTTCAGTAGGATATATAGGCCGGTTCTGGACCACTTGTGGAGGGGGAACCGGATGGACCTAACC